GGAGAAGAGTAGGCATCTAGATCACTCGCAGGGTCTGGTTCATATATATGTAACTCCCTTGCAAGACCTGGTGTTTCAGGCAATTATTCTTTTTTTCACTTTGGGTGGCTTTCTGTGAGTAAGACCAGGTATCCAGGTATTGATGTTTTGTTTTGTTTTGTTTGTTTTGTTTTGTTTTGTTTTGGGTTTTCTTGTGTTAGGAATGACTTGAGAAACTGCAAGTCACTTCTGATGTGAGAGAATTGTCCGTCTGCAAGGACGTTGCCCAGGGGACACTCAGATGTTTTGATGTTTTACCATCCCTGTAGGAAGCTTCTCTCATGTCCCTGCATGGGGTGCTGGAGCTGACAGAGGGAGCTCATCTGCACTCTCCCCAGATTCAAATCTCCGACCTGTTGGTATGCAGTCCTGCCCGCACAAGGATTTAACCCATTGTGCCACTGGGGGCTCCATTGATGTTCATATTTAGTTAATGAGTACATCAGCAGTATAGAAATACATGCAGTTTGACATCACTTTTGAACTGCCATGAAATCATGGAAGTCGTAGCTTGGTAAAACACCAGCAGTCCTTGGCAGTGAAGGCTAAAGGCTTTCAAAAACTTCAACTCACATGAGTCCATAATAATAATAATAATAATAATAATAATAATAATAATAATAATAATAATAATAACAACTTTATTTGTACCCCGATGGAGAGCCATGGCAGTTAAACATTGTGTCATACTGCATTAGTCCTACAATGTTGATAAACCCATAGAAGATGTTCAGGATCTAAGCATTGTAAGCTTCAAGTAGAAGGCTGTGTGTCAATCCCCATAGAACTGCTGCTGGTCTTCCTAAAAACTTTACTGTTTTTCCCAAAGTTCACATATAGTTTTGTTCGAATAGAAGCTTAAAGCATCCTAAAAACTGCCTTAGAAGAAATGAGGTTGTGATTCCTACTCAGTAGGAGAGACTGGCAGAACTTAAGGGTTTTTTTCATTTCAGTGTTTTGTCTGTAGGTCTACTTTCCAATCAACTTGCATTTCGGCTAGTTCGTCAAAACCTGTGGAAGTGGAGTTGTGCTTTGAGGAAATGCACGTCCTGCTGTGCCAAGTGCTCTCTGTGACATCTTCTGTGTGGAATGCCAGTGACTGCTGCATAGAAATCCCTCCCCCTTTCCAAGAGCAAATGTAGTCTGTTCTTTTAGTTGGAATGTGGCTCTTTGTCATCTTCTCCTGCTGTCAGTGCCATTATAATGAGTGGAATTGATTTTGATGCTGGTGATCTACTTTCAGGACCCTCAAAGGTGGATCTGAACTGGTGCAACATTCAAAGCACTATGATATGCTGGAACTCTGAGGAAAAATCACCAAGACAAAATGAAATAAATTGCTGCTATCCCCATATTCATGCCAACTTTTACTGAAATAGAATTTCCAACTATTCCAGACTTTTACAGCTTGAAATGGAAATGATGTGTACAGTTATTATTTATTTATTTCATACATCTGTATCGTGTCCTTCTCACTCCTTGGAGGAGGGGGGGACAACTCAGGACAGCCTCACAATCGGCAACCATTAGATGCCCAAACAAGACAATTATAATAACAATAGCAATATAATAAAAACAATAGTTAAAATATCCCATATGAAAACATCGAATTAAAATTATGCAAGTTCAAGTCATAATCCAGGTCAATCCATTGTCAGTCCAATAAATAATTATTATTGTTAATGCTGCATCTGCTTCTCAAATGCTTGGTCCCACAACCAAGTTTTATAGGAGGGAGGGGGCCCATCTGATTTAATTAGGGAGAGTGTTCCACAGCGGGGGGGGGGGGGCACCGAAAAGGCCCTGAATCTCATCCCCACCAGCTGTGCTTGCGAGGATGATGGGATCGAGAGCAGGGCCTCTGCCGATGACCTGAATTTCCAAGGTGGATCATAGAGGGAAATACATTCGGACAAGTGAGTTGGGCCGGAACTGTTTAGGGCTTTATAGGCCAAGACCAGCACTTTAAATTGTTAGACCTCAGCCAAAGAAAATAAAATTATTGATATAAGATATATCAGTTATCTTTAGGTGTGTATCCAAGAAAAAAAAGTATTCTTTCAGATGTAGTTTTTTTTGTTAAAGTATTTAGTGTTTTCTTTATAGTGTTACAGATATTCCAATGGAATAGTTTCCTTGTAAAGATTTGTATTTGAATATACCATTTGAATCAAATGTGCTAAACCTGAGAGCATTATTTAGAGCTCTGGGAAATGTTCCAGCTCTACCTTTGGAGACAATGACCCACATTTACCCCCTGGTAAAGGATGATGGGATCTGCTTTTCAACAATACTGATAGGCCTCATTCCAAGCATTGTTTATGTTGCTTCCCATGCATGTCATCTGTCTTGTCATTGTATAACCAGCATTGAAGGTTTGCCATATGTGTGTTCTGTGATCTGCCCTGAGTCCCCTTCGGGGTGAGAAGGGTGGAATATTAGTACTGTAAATAAATAAATAAATAACTAAATAAATAAATAAATAAATAAGGATGATAGGGGTGGTAAGCCAATGCAATTGGAGACTAATTGGTTAGAGAAAGTTGCATTAAGGAATTTGCTACTCACTGTAGATTGATATCCCCTGGCTGTACTTCTTAGTCTTGGGTTGCTAATCTGCCTTGTTCCTCATTATAACAATTACTGCCTTGAAATAAGAGAGTGAATTGCTATGGAGTACTAGTGGCACCCGTTGAATCAGCCTTCTGTTTTCTCTCTCCCATGTTCTCCTTTTTCCATTTTTTAATCATCTTCATCTTAATCATCATGTTGTTGTTATTTTTGTCCGTGAAAAGGAAAGGGTGGGGTTTTGGATCTTACATTGTTTTCATTGTATTTTCAGTTACTTATATAACTGTTGGAGCACATCAACAAATAAAGTTTGCAGGCAGACATTTATACATTAACATTTTGTTTTATTTCTCTAAGACATGGAAAAAACATTTCTTTGTTTGCCTTGAAAAAAGGATGAATTCAAGGAACAGTTTCCTATAAGAGAAAATTAGCTGGCTCTAGGAGATCTCGTGGACATTGTTCAGCCAACTGAGGGCCCTTCCACACAGCCATATAATCCAGAATACGTATTTATCAAGACAGAAAATACCACAATATCTGTTTTGAACTAAGTTATCTGAGTCCACACTGCCATATATTCCAGTTCAAAGCAGAAAATGTGGGATTTTATTCAGCTGTGTGGAAGGGGCTTAATATAGAAGAAAAGGTAGATATTGTAATCTGTACAAATTATGTCACTTTTGCATGTGTCCTGCGTAATTTTCTCCTATGCATGAAAAGACTGACGGAAATATGCCACCCTTTTGACTAATGGAAAACATTGTTCTCTGCATCTAAGATGCTAGTTCTGACCTTTAAAATTCTTTACGGCCAGGGTCCATCGTACCTTAGGGACCGCCTCTCATTCTCCCATCATCGGAGGTCACAACGACCAGTCCAACGTGACTTACTCCATATACCAGGTCCTAGAGAAGTGCACTTGGAAAGGATCAGGCGCAGGGCTTTTTCTATTTCTGCCCCTGCCTTGTGGAATTCCTTGCCACCCTACATGAGAGCCATGCGTGACTTAGGGCCTTTTACTCTCGCACTTAACACCTGGCTTTTTACTAGAGCATTCAATCTCTGTCGATTTTTAATTTTTGTATGTATGTATTTTATCTTTTGTAATTTAGCTGTAAATCGCCTGGAGCATTCTCGGATGGAGGGCGATTAATAAGTTATTAAATGATGATGATGATGATGATGATGCTGCTGTGTTGGCAGCATAAATGTCACACCACTTTCACATCTTCCATGTATGGATACTTTTTGTTAATATGATAGATTTGTAACTCTCTATATGTTTATGTATGTACAAGTTGAGCATAATTTCTCTGGGTTTCAAAACCTGAACTATACGAAACTCCAAAACTGTCATATGAGTGGACACCTTTTTTGCTGATGGTTCAGACTTTATTTCATACACAAACCATTGTGAAATGTTTCTTATACAGTCTTTCAAAGTCTCTTGTTGGAGTTAAAACTTGATTTCAGGGCAGCCCTTCCCCAAGCTGGTTGCCTCCTGAGGTGTTGAGCTACATTTCCAATCATCCAGATAGCATGGCTGTGCTGGCCAGGGTGATGGAGTTTGTAGTCTGGATTTCAGAGCAACCCTTTTGCTTGCTGGAACCCTCTCAATGTCCTACACTAAAGCTCTAATGCCACAGCGTGGCTCTGCTGGTTGGGATGATCGAGTCTGTTGTGCAGTCCATTTGGGCTGTTTTTGTGAAATACCAAATGTTTCAATGGGAAGATGTTGAGTCATTTTGAGAACAATATCCACTTTTCTTTGTTTTCTCTTCTCATTTTTTTTCGTGTAAGGAGTGACTTGAGAAACTGCAAGTCACTTCTGGTGTGAGAGAAGTGGCTGTCTGCATTGCCCAGGAGATGCTCGGATGTTTTGATGTTTTACCATCCTTGTGGGAGGCTTGTCTCATGTTCCCACATGGGGAACCAGAGCTGACAGAGGGAGTTAATCTGTGCTCTCCCTGGATTTGAACCTCCGACCTGTCAGTCTTTAGGCTTTAACCCATTGCGCCACCAGTGGCTCATTCTCTTTCCATCATAACATATATTTGCTCATGTATTGGAAATTTAATCCATTTTGAAAAATGCCTTCCTTCCAGAGCTCCACACTGCCTGTCGTGGCTCCTTTTTGCATAAGTGTCAGTGAGGTTGACTGAGAATATCTTTGCATTGCTCCATTGGTCCTCTTTCAAACCAGTCCTCTGACATGCATGTCATTCTGTTGTATGGAAAGATTGAGGGGAGAGATTAATAGGGAAAGGTTGATCTCATTGCTTCCCTTCTTTTTCTACAAGTGCTGTGTGTAACCAAGTATTTCCAACCGAAGTATACCCTGTGTGGCTTAGAGATAGCTAAAGAGGGCCTGGCTCATGTTTCCACAGAACTGGTCTGGCTAAACCTTGACAAGTCGGAAACTGGGGAGATAGCAAGCATCCTGAGGAAGTGAAATCTCTCAGAAATCTGTGATGTCGCTGGAAAACAAAACAAAGGAGCTCCAGGAAGGCACACCGTTTTTCCATCCTTTAAAAAGAAAACCTTACATCAGGTCCGGAAGCCTGGATAGTCATTCTTGGACACTTTTGGATTGAAAGAGAGAAAGAGCCTGCCTTCACTTGGGTTTTTGGCCTCTCACATGTATTAACTTATCAGTGGGTATACACTTTTAATGTACTCTGTGGTTGGCTTGGGCCACAATGAACGAAGTAAAGGGGGCAGATAAGATCAAAAGTACATTATGATCCAATTCCACTGACAGGAGAACCTCGTTTGGACCATATTTTAAATTAATTAACCTATTTTCAGTTCCTGGAACACTTCACAGGTTGGAGCCTTGTTATTTCTTGATTTTTCCAATATATACAGAATACATAAATAACACACATAATATGAATCGATAAGAGAGATGGTCTAAGTATGTCCCTTCAGAACTTGTTCAGCTACTGCTCCTGTCAGTCCAGGATGAATGGCGGACATTGCAATCTAGCAATATCTAAATTGATCTTTCTTTCTGAAATTCACACACTAATATGGAAATGGGCCAGAATGGGTTTATCACTAAATTCATGCAAAACATTATGGACCAGAAACATATCCAGCCCTGGACTTCTTGCTTTTCTCAAGCAGTTGGACATCTTGGGGACAACTGTTCTCTGATTTACTTTTGTGTAACAAAGGAACTCCACACCTCAAGCATTTCATGGCATACAAGTGGAAATGTAGAGCTGTTGAATAGTTTTTGCCCTTCATCAGTTTTCCAGAGTCCAAGCACCCTTCCATTTAAGCTATCTAAGCTTTCTTCCAGTTGGCTAAAGAAAATTCCTTAAAATGTGTCCATCTTTTCTTGGCCACTTTCAAACTCTATGTGGTCCATTTACCTATGTAAGTATAATATCTTACAAGAGTAGCCTCTGAATGTATTTTCTGGTCAACAAAAGCTCTTGAACAGATACATGCAGCTAGTTATAGAAATAGCATCTCATCAGCTAGGTCTTCCAACCTGCTATCCCTTTGGATGTGGTACACAAGTTCCATCAGGCTAAATATAGGCTTTGCAGGTTTGATTTCCAAAGCTCTGTTACTTGACTTAAGTTGTCCTTAATGTTTATTTGCCTATCTGTCTGTCCATTTAGTTTTTTCCCCTGCTCTACAGCCAAAAAGTCTTCCTTATCCCTAGGCTTATAATCTAAATAAGGCATGGCACATAGTGAAAAGGGACTGGCGGTGCAACGGGATTAAGTGCTGCTTTTCTCCTCCATCAGAAACCAGAGCAATGGCAGTTGAAACATGGAAGGAGGGCAAGACAAGACGGAGCTATGCCTAGCTGCTCTTCTGTTTTTGAGATCAGGGCAATGGCAGTTGGAGTACTTCAACTCCATAATCTAACTGCCATTGGCATGATGGAGCTGGATTTGGCTGCTCTTCTCTCCCCAAAGGGCAGAGCACCGGCAGTTGGAGGGAAAGAAGGACTCTTATATTTGAAGATTACAGCGTTGGCTCAGCAATTCTGCCCTGTACATACCCACTGAGTCCCTTGTGTTAATTAACATGGTATGCAAAGCAGATTTTGATATATAAAATAATTCTATAACTAAAGTACTATTTTGGATTATGTTAAGTGATAAGTGGATTGTCAAGACCCAGACGGACCAGCAAGCAAAACGGCAGTGAAGGAGTTAAACAAAGGTCTTTAATGTCTATTAGCACAACAAAAAGAGGCTCTTAAAGTCAGAGCTATAAACACAAAAGGCTTGCGGTCAGCAAGAATGTAAACAAACCAAGTCCCAGTCAGTCCTCGCTGGCAAAAGGAAAGCAAGTCCAAACGCAGGCAAAACAGCTTCAATTCAGCAGTAAAAACTCAGTTCATTTCAAAGCCAAACAAAACAGCAAACAGCAATCCGCATGAAGAGCGGTCCAACGAAGTCACCAGGGGATTAGCAGAGGCGTAGTCAGGCAGTCCGAGGGTCAAGGCATAGAAGACTCACAAGTCCAGGTCCGGCAAGATTGTTCACATGATCAGGAGTCCACGAAGCTGCAAACAAGAGCTCAGGGCAGAAGTTAAACACAAGGCACACGGTAACGCGACACTTTGAACTCTGCGATTAGTTTGTTCCCAAACTGCTCCTTAAATCTCATCCGAGTCGCTGGAGTTACTTTCAGGTGCGTCTACCTCCACAGGTG